GTTGGTTAAATTTAAAACTTTTTAAAAAATGTTGGTTAAATTTAAAACTTTTTAAAAAATATTAAATTTTTATCTCCTTAAAAACACATACCCACTCATACGTAGAAGTATTCATTCAACTTTATTATAAAAGAACCAGCTTAGTTTGTTTTTTGTTTTTTTGTTTTTGTTTTTTTTTTTTTTTTTTTTTAATTGCATTTTTAATGTATTTTTCAAATAAAATATTTTGTATTGTGGTCAAAATAGTACCAGGATGTAGACAAAGGAATTCATCCTACCACACGGATATTACATTGTCTCAGTTATTTTCAAGTACCAATAAAAAGTACTAGAACAAAACGACAATGCATGAGCTTCAAAAACATTCACCCATAATTTTGATCACAATACACAACACCTTATTGGAAAAATACAATAGAAAAATTAAACAGACAAACCTTGTTGGTTCTTCTTAATCAAACTTGTTTGGATATATATGAACTCCCTCTGAATCGTCCTCAAATTGACATTATGTTGAATTATTCAATAAGGGCAAAATAAAGAATCTATATTGATACAAAATCATAAGTTATTTACGCAACTAACTTAAAACTATTTTCTTGCCTTCTAGTGTGTAATTAAACCAATTTAAACAGTGTCTCTCAAAATTTGTAAAGAATAGAAAAATCATTCCACTAGTATGAGGACTGTTTTGAAAAGTGGAATTGATACTAGGATAATTTTGTGACATCCCAACAAATGAAGGGTGGGTAATATGCAAGATAGGATTTTTTTTTTTTATGGCAGCTTCATGCTTTCCAAACACTTTATGTACGCATTGGGCAAACCCATCTTTGAGTGAACAAGTTTGTCAAACTGTTAATAAAAGTTGACAAAGTCCAAATATCCATGTACACACATGCAGCCTCCTCACAAAAATCATGCATAGTAGAAAAAGTCAGTAGCTTTTATAGCAGTTTGCTGGACCCTTTACAGGTTTGTTTGTTTAAAATTCATGGCGCATGGAAATGGATTGGCATATTTTTCTATGCAATCCATTCTACTCACTAAAACTTGTATCATGAGTGATTAGCAGAAGCTCAGCTACACAATCTTGCTGACCTCATTTTAGTGGTGACTTGTTTTTTTTTTGTTTTTTTTTTTTTTTTTGTTTTGTTTCCTGCAAAAGTAGCATGCAACATGAAAGTTTTTTGCCCTTCAGATTATGTCACCATTTTCTTCTGTACTTCAACTTGCTACCTTTTCCAATTCCTCAAATAGTTTTAATAACAACATCAATTCTTCTTACAGTAGACTAAATAACTGATAATTATTTAGTATGTAGTGTAGTTTCCCCCCCCCAGTATACTAACCAAAATACTAAATACTATTTTTATTCTACCATCTGCATTTGTTCTAGGTCACTACTCTAGATTTTAATAGAATTCAAATAGATTTTTATTGTTTCATACTTTCAAAACTTTGTCACAGCATAAATAAATTATTTTTTTTCTTTCCCCGCAAAGTTTAGCTTAGGATCAGGCAAAATGGTATGTCAAAAGGACATTTTTCTCTTGGCCATACAATTACCATATATATTATGGAAAGCAAGAATTTGGAAGAGTTCTACAACGTGAGAAATGTAAGAGAAGTAACTGTTGCTATAGAACTTACAGTTACAGCTATCCATTTCAACTGTAAAATGGTGAGACCTAGCTGCCAATCTAGTACTGTGTGTAAATTTATAAAGTAGAGGTGTCAAAGAGGAAAGTTTGTCAGAACAATTGCCATGAAAATATAGAAAAGGCACAGGGAAGCTGTTATGGTGTCGGAAAAGTGACTGAAGCCGACATGCAAGGTCTGGACCGATAACATTACTAAATGTTAAATAAAAATGTAATTTTACATATGTTATTAAATATGAGAAATCATTTTAACATTCCCCAAAAATGACTATTAGACCATTGTCACAATAAATCTTGAGGATTAAAAATCCTTTCTTAAAGCAGTCTGGTGGGGGGGGGTTAAATGTTTTGTATCATTGACAAAGTTAAAGAAAATTGTTCATTCATACCAATACATGAATTTTCCTTTAAAATGCTTTCAAAATTTCTTATACTTTCAAGCATATTTGTTTTTTCATCGGATCCAATTAAGTGTTCCACCAAATATTGTTGAACCGACTCCCAAGAGTTTTGTTTTCCATGATTACTATCATCTCAGCCAGTTCAAGTCCAGGATTAACCATTATCTACCCCCATATATCTGCATAAACTGTAACCCTCTAGCTCTTATGACTCTCGAGCCTTGTACATGATGCACTCACTGTTAAAAATAATAAAATAAAATAAAAAAAGTCCAGTATATAGTTGGCAGTGGGTTCCACACATGCAAAGGAAGACAAATAGTTTGGAATATTAGTCGGTCATGGGTTATCCCCCTTAGTTGTTTTGTTTTTTTGCTATTGTATATCCACCATTCCTAAACCAGTTTTAAGTAGAGGTAAAGATGTTAAAATGATTCAATATAAGTAAAGGTATGTCAAAAAGCAAAACTATTTAAAAAATAATAAGATTTGTTTGAATGTATCAAAAGATGTCCTCTTTTATGAAGTTAATTTCCTCAAGTTAATATGCAAATGAAATCAGATTTAAAAAAAAAACAAAAAAAAAACCACAACTGGTATGACTGGTTGACTTTAATCCATTTAGATTCTAACTAAAGAAAGTTCTTCAAATAAGTAAGGAACTGTTCTAAGCAATAGAAATCTTGAAAACATGGCTGGTTCCTTGTAGCACTCCAGAAAGTCCCTGACTTCACTTGCCATGCTTGATCTTTACAAAAGTTAGATAAAACTAAAAAAAAAAAATGGAGTATTGCTGCTATATCTGGACTGGAACTGCCAACTCCTTTCTTTCCTGTCTTTATAAAGTTTAAAAGCATTTAGGCAATGATTTATTTCCCACCATACAACACTACAAGCCTTCTTTCTAATCTTTCCCTATTTCCATGGAAAATGTTCTGACAAGCTACATTCCTTAGTTCCACAGTTAAGACCTATCATGCTATATACACATTGACAAATCATCCAAATTCCCTTCATATTCCAATGGTAAGGAGGAATTTCCATTCAGACAGTTTCTTCCCTTTATGGGACAGACTCCCAAGAGGATCCTTCCACAAATGCGCCAATCTTAACCTCTTCATGTCTAGGGTCAACACTTATTGTACGTATCCTCATAATCTGCACTTACTTCCTCCTTCCATGTCTATGCAACAACCTATTTCAGTTACTCTACATTGAGTGGCTCTTGGGCTTTGTATTGGTAGAACACTTAGTTACAGAAAGATGAATGATGCAAGTTCAAATCTTGAAGCTTATTTTGCCTACTTAACTCAACATAATGTCAAAATGCAATAATAAATAACATGGAAGAAAAACTACAAAAAATTAATAATTTGGAAGAACCAAACACTTATTAATACAACTTGTAAACAAGTAATAAAAAAAAAAAGCTGAAAGAAAGTTGTGAAAAATTAGTAATGTTTCATATAAAAAAATTCTGACAACTTAAGACTGTCTACTAGGTATAAATAAGCTAAAAATTTAAGATTAAAGAAATACTAGTAAAACAATATTTCATCTATGAAATTTGCCCAGCATAGAATTGTCTACAACTATTAGCTGTAAACAAGCAATAAAAATGAGAACTGAAAAATTATTAATGACAATGCTTCATATAAGAAATCTTGAAAATTCAAGACTGTTACATACTAGGTGTAAACAATAAAATTAAGATAAAAGAAATACTATAAAGCAATGATAATTATAAAAAAAAAAATTGGACAGCTTAAAACAATTATGTAAACAAAGATGCAAGAAAAACTAATCAAAAATGAATTATTCAGACAACTTAAGATTTAAAACTGTTATATTTCTGTTTTAATAACCTATTTTCGGAGATTTATTTTTGGACTTGCAAATCATTTGATGTTGCTTTTTGATCCTTAATGCCAAAAGGAGCCAATCTCATTGGTTTAATTCATATTCACCTAAGCATATTTTCACCAATCCCAATCATTCACTTACATTTTCTTGTTCCACATCAATAATTTTTTTGTTTGATTTGTTATACAGTGAATATGTATTGGTTTTTAGTTCATGTTTTTCTTTTTCCTCACTATAAATTTTATATATATATATATATATATATATATATATAATGCATTTGAGGTATTAGTTGTCTTTTTTTTTCTTTCTGCTGCTATTTGTTGTGAATTGTTTAGCCTCCTGAATACCATGACAAGAATTTAAAAAAAAATCAATTCTTTTCTTTCTGCAGAGATTTTTACAAAATATCATTAACTCTTAAGGAATTTGTTACTTATTCATTACAAATCTTTGTTTCATTTACGTTATTTGACTAAACATTATTTATCTTCTTGAATTGCATTGCACATGTAATGTTTGTTGTGATGATTTAAGATCATTTTTACCAAGTTCCAGTTCCCATCCCTAAGGTAAAATTCAACGTCTCTCAGCTTCACAGGGAAGCACACAAGTTTCCACATACCATTTCCGAAGTCTGTGACCAGGAGAGATCATTCCAGTCTCACCACCAAGAGACTGAATTTTGGCCAAACAGTGCTACCATGATCTCACAAGATAAATGGACGTGTATTTACTTAGCACCTTGTTTCCAAATAGATATGCAACTGAAACTCCTTTGACAACACATGTAAACAGCACGAAGAAGGAATGCAAGGTCACTAGATGACATTCTGAGTGAGTACTTAGTTAAAATGTAATAGTTATCATTATCAATATCAGTTTTTATCTTTTTATTTAATTATACATTTATATTAAGGTCTGGATATCCCACATTAGATAATTTTTTTTTTGTATAATCAGAGTACTAAGCTAACCTTAGTAAGAAGATGGCACAGTACCCTGATTACACTTGTAAATGGGTGAAAATTTAACTTCCGTTAGACACCATCTCTAACAAAGTTTGCAAACAATGCTCAAAACTTTTTCCAGACTAATGAAGGGGATTACCAAAATCTCTTTGAGAGTAAGCCCAGGAACTGAATTTTAACGAATTTAACAAAATAACTGTACCTAAACTTAGAGTACATGATTTGAGTTAAAGTTAATCCTTAGTTAATATATCTACATATTGCTAGGTAACAAAATGAGAGTAAATAATGAATTTTTAACTTAGAAAAGGTTTTCTTAACTCCTCATATAAGCAAAAAGAAAAATGGAAAATCCAAACTACCTTATTACCAATGACCTTGAATCTTATTTTTGCATTGTGCTTTCATCTTAATATCATCTCAGTTTCTTTCACTCTCAGTAACCCTTTGTCTTAGTGGCTTTATCACCTTTTTGGGGGGTGAAATGATTGCAAAAAAAGCCTTCATGTTGGTCAGTAAGCTTAATGCTAATATTAGCCATTTTCTTATAAGGAAACATTTGACATTCATTGACCAAACGGTCAGTGCGACCCAAGTTACACTTTTTTATCCTTATTGGCCATTGGGCTGGTATTAAAGTGTAGTATCTTCATCTGTATATTAGGTGCTTTCTTATAAGGGAACATTTGGCATTCATTGACCAAGCAGTCAATGCTACTGTCTGTTCAAATCTATAAATGTAAAACAATTTTTCAGGAAAATAGGTCTCTCAAATTGAGAACCTATCACCCTTTTCAGTATTGATCGGGGGTTTCCTTCCTTGCTTTTTGTTTGAGATTGTGTATTTTACCTGGAACTGGAACAAACTGATCTTTTTTTAGAACAACAAAAAAAGAAATTGAATTCTGTACTCAGAAGGCTAAAACGCTGCTTTTTGTTTGTCATCTGTACTTCGGGTTTTTTTTTTTTCTTTCTTGTGCATGAATAAGTTGTCCCTGACAGGTGTTTCCATTTTCCTTCCCTGACCCAGCAGACGTTCCCCTCCCCACCACCCCTTCTCAGACACGCTCACCAACCATACCTCTAGGCCTCAGCAACCTGAATCTGGACACACTGCCGTCGGCGCCAACCCATCTCCAAGAAGCAATCCTGTCCACAAGTTTCGTCACTTTGTCCTGGAAGCCACCTGAAAATAAGGGTCCCGATTCTGATGAAATCATCGCCTACTCAGTCTACTGGAAAGAAAAGGGAAAAGAAAGGTAAGCACTTGTTCTACTTTTTTTTCTTTTGCATTCTTTTAGATTGCTATTTTGAAGATAAAATCACTTGACTGGGAGACAGTTGAAATTTCTGGGACATATGAGGAAAAATGGTTTGGAAAATTTAACACTCACAGGACATATTGAGTAAAGGAGGGGCAGCTGAGTCATGCTGCACACCTCCATTGGGGATGGTGGACATCTCTACAAAAGCCCAATATGATGGACATTGGGTTATAACTTAAGATGATAGTTTTTGTTTTGTTTTTTTTTGTTTGTTTTTTTTGCATCATCGCTGAAATGTTTTACTACAAGAGTTTAGCATCAATGGCAAAATTATCAGTAATATAATTATTCAGGGCACTTTATTATTTATTAAGCTTTTCTCTTTTCATTTCTCCCTCCCCCTCTCTTTTCTTCCTCTTACTTTTTGTTTTCCATCCACCTCTTTTTTTCCCCCTCCATATTTCCCTCCTTCTACTCCCCTCCATATTTCCCTCCTTCTACTCCCCTCCATATTTCCCTCCTTCTACTCCCCTCCATATTTCCCTCCTTCTACTCCCCCTCCATATTTCCCTCCTTCTACTCCCCCTCCATATTTCCCTCCTTCTACTCCCCCTCCATATTTCCCCTCATTCCTTTGCCATACTTTCTAGAAAATCTAGCAGAAATCTTAAAAACAATTTGATATTTAATTGAAATTAATTAAAAGTTACTAATTTTGTTACTAAATTTTTAGCATAATGGAATTTTTTTTTTTTGTTCTTGAAATATGGACAATGTATAAATCAAGAAAAGTTCAAGTGACTTATGTGAGCAATGTTCATTAAATTATGTATTTACATTCCACAAGATTGATCACTAAATCAATAATCCTCCTTTTTTAGGTCAAGAAGGATATTTTTTTTTTCTTTTTGCCAAAAGATAAAAAGGATCAACAAGTTTACTTGAACATTTTTTTTTAAAAATTAAAAAAAAAATTTTCTTTACAAGTAGTTTGTACCTAATATCTTTAAAGATGCTGAGAAAGCATTACATAGAAAATTAGCTCAATGAATATTGATGAATAAGCATTTTTTTCACTCTCTCTCTCTCCAATATTTTTTTTTTTTATAGATGTGTGGGGGGAGTAGTGAAGTCTGTTTCACTTCCTTTTAACAGATAATTTGAAATATCTTTTTAATTCTTGCTACAATTACATATGAAATATCTTGTAAATTCAGTGATCCATAAAAATGTATTAATAGGGTTAGAATCAATTACATATAAATGTACAGGTAGCTTTATTAGTACATAAAGTGGAATCATGAGGGCAGATTTCAAATTTAGGCCTAGTCTATTGCATTCACTTTGCACAGATACAAAAAAGCCATGAATTCATTTCTTTTTGCTTCCATCTATGGGCTAAATAACAGGGTAAACTGGGCTCTCATCTTGAGTGGCAGCTGGTCTAGGAGAACACCATTTCTAAATTCAAAATTATGGAGAAAGCAACAAAAAATTATTCCACTTAAAAAGGTTAACAAATAATGTTTCTCATCCAGATAATCTTTGTTCAGTTGGATTATCACTAAAATAAGAGCCTCTTCTTCATTCAATATGGCCACCTTATATAGTTACAGAATGGGACATAACTCTTATTGTCGACACTCCTATCTTTCCCGTATCCTGCGTCTTGAGTAAGACGATAAACTACATCTAACAGCAAGGCCTCTGATAATATATTTTTGAAAAAAGTATTACTAGCTGTACGTTTTTGAGGGGGGGGAATGTTACCAGCTGTCCGTTTTTGAGGAAAAAAATATTAACAGAAATAGATTTTTAACAAAAATATTACAGGGATGGGGGTTGTCAGCATTAAATGACCCATTGAGGTTGATATGCCGTAAAACAAACCAAACCTAACCTATCTTTCCCAAAAAGCCATGACAATTTACAGATAATAAATAAAAAGTAATTTCTGGAAAGCCATGATCACTTATACCTTGAAGAGATGTACCATGTTTAAAATCTGTTGGGTAGAATGTTGACTTCAACTTAAACTATTTTTCAAGTAATGGTAAATTTTTGCAACAAAGGAATTCTGAGCTCTTCATCATTTTGAAATGAACATGACTTTTCTTTTGAATCTATTTAAGTGTTCTACAAATTTTGTGCTCTGCATTTTGAGATGCCAATTGCTGTAGGTAAAAAAAAAACTGCTTCTTGCTTTGTTCGTTCTGATTATTAACATTAATTATTTTTGTAAGTTTTATTACAGTTATTTCTTTTCATGTATCAGGACACAATAAAACTTTCTCCCCCCCCAAACCAGAACTGCTAGAAATGCTCAATTTTAACTAAAAACTAATCAGTTATCAGTTATGTGCCATGTGTGATACACGCTTAAATGATCATGTATCTTTTGATACATGACTGACAAGGCAAATTTTTTCCCCTGCAATAGGTTGCCATCCAAGGCTATAGAATTCAGTCTATCCTACTATTTAATCATTGTTGGGAGGGAGAAGAGGATTCATACCCTTTCCCAAAGGTATTAGCATGTAAGTGGATTTAACTGGAATTTGAACTCTGCTCTCCAATTCCTCAATCCAAGCTGCTATCCATTGCTCCACCGTGCATCCTAACTAAAAACTACAAAACTAATAATAAATATTTAAGCTTTGTTGCACAAATTTCCAAACAAACTAATGTTTGATAAAAAGTAAAATGTCTCTTAGTTTTTTGCTATATTTCAACTAATCTATACCATCATTATGGTGGCCACATGACCGAGTGGTTAGAATATTAACATTTCCACCATGAGACTGGGATTCAAATCTGACTGATTTTTGTCAAGAAAGTGACACTTTGATAATATCTGCCTGGAGAATTGATTCCAGTATGTGTCACTATTGGAAAGTGCCTGAAAACTATTCCCAAGTTTCATGATAGAATTTGGAGAGATGAAACTATTAGTATAAATTATAAGTTGGCAATGTGGGTATTGAAGAAACATGAAATGTGCATTAGCAAGCATCTGCAGCATCATTTTACAGTTGAAATGGCTAAGATGCAACTGTAAGTTCTATGCTAACAGTTTCCTCTCTTGTGAAACTCTCTTCTGGCTTCTTGCTTCACACTCAACTTTGATCTTAAAAAATTTAAATGTAATGTCATCTTTTGTCTTAATTCCTGATTCTTTGTTATCTCGCTCCTTAATGTTTTTTTTTTTCTTTTTCTCATTATTTTACACTCAATTTTAGCGGTTTTATTGCCTTGCTTGGAGTGAAATGATTAAAAATTAACCTTTTCGAAGAAAAGGTTCTCTTTGACCTTTCTTAGAAGGCTGTCAAATGTTTGGAGAATCATAATGAACTTGGTCTGAAAGTAGTTACTTGTTTCATAACCCACCAGGGTCGAAAGAGTACCCCATGTACCGTAGCTATGGTGTGTCTTGGGAAAGATAACCTGACAGTCCATCCCTCTTCAGGCCAAGTTTTCAATTCAATTTTCCTTCTAGACTGGTTGCTACTTCAAAGCAAGAGCATAGTTTGCCCTGTTATTGAACATATAACTAAAGGGAGTTGGATTCATGCCTTTCCCATGGGTATTAATGCAAAGTGAACAAAACAGAATCAAGAAAGAATTTACATGTCTCCCAAAATACAAGAATGATAAATTGGAAACAAAAAAAAAATATGCTGAACTATGTAATATCAATCCTCTTATATGGCAGTAAATGTTCCTCAATTTCCTCACAGATGATGAGGACACTTGAGACAACAGAAGGATGCAGCAATGAGGGAGTTTTGAGAAAAATGGAAGCAAAAATGACACTTTGATTTGAAAAGGTTGAAATTTCTGGGGCATGTAATGAGGAAAGAAGGCTTGAAAATTTGACACTCACAGGACATTGAAGACAAGAGAAACATTGAGTAACCTACTTAGTGAGCTTTTGTAAATGAATAGCAGAATAAGAAGTGGAAAGAATAGTAAGACACATTGCTATGAGCTACAAAGGATAGGAAGTTGTGGAGAGTTATGATCACTCATACCCTGAAAATTAGAGCAATAGCTCTTAGTTTTAATCAAAAAAAAACAATTTAATATACTGGCAGCATCTGATTTCTATATTTCTGGCAGATGTAGAATAAATTAGCCCATGGCCCAGTTTTTGTGCGGGTATTATACATATATTAAAGCAAGTTTGGTTAAATAATTTAGATGTATTATGTCTATTTATTTTAGTTTTAATCCTTTCAAGTTCACAAATTAATTTATTGGTGGCTGTAGAAAATTGATCCAGAAAAAATATCAAAATTTTCTTTCAAATTTTTATTTTGAATATGAAATGTTGTAAATGAACAGTGAAAGAAATATTTTGAATTTACGGAGCTACTGTATGAACATCCACAGATATTTTAACCCCCTGAAGATGTTCTCAGATGAAATTAAAAGTACATGGGGGTGGGGGATTTTGGTATTTTTCTTAATCAATTTTCTACAGCCGCCAAGAAATTAATTTGTGGACTTGAAAAAAATTAATCTCAACAGACATAATGTCTAAAATTATTTAACCAAACCTGCTTGAATGAAAATATGCTACACACACACACACACACACACACACACACACTTATATATATATATATATATATATATATATATATATATATATATATATATAAACATTAAAGTCAACACTCAGGGCGACATGCTGTTTCATGCTAAAGACAATCATCAGGCTTGTGTCTAGCATGAAACAGTCTTTCACCTCTGAGTGTTGACTTCAATGTTGACTTTTATATTTACATATGCTCAATCTCTGATATTGAGCACTTTATCCCATAAATATAGCACACCTTAAAACTATATATATATATATATATATATATATATATATAAAACTTATCTTAGCTGACATATTTCATCCAATGATGGACTTTATCAAAGGCAAATATGTATTTTATTTTGCAACAAGTATTTAAAAAAAAATTCAAATATTTTTTACTTTGTTT